TTCAAACGTTAGGGGAGACATTGTAGACGTCACATTAACAAAAGCTGAAGCATCTTCTGCAATTTGAAACTCTAAAATGCCACGTTCAATTAACTCGGTCTTTATTAAGGTTTTAATGTTGTCTTTTAAACGTTTATCTTGGCTTATCAAATTAATTTTATAGTGACCTGCAAGTTCTACCAGTTGATCCTTAGTCAAATCATTTAACAAATCTTCAGACGGAGCACTAACAAATTCTTCCACCTTTGAGGCCATTGTGAAAGACAAAAAGTATGGCTACTTTTCAAAAAAAAAAAACTTGGTGTAGAAATTAGATAAGCAATTCCCTCTAACTAAATTTCAAAACTATCTAAACTCATCCCTAATCTTCGTACAGTTACTTGCAGCGGGTTTTTATACACTGTAAACCAGCGTTTGAAATAGCGACCGATTAACGAGTCACCATTACAAAACACGGACGTGTTCCCGAGACAACTGCTCTAACTGCTTTCACCGTACAAACAAAACAAACTAAAATAAAAAAAGATCGGAGCATCCCGTTAAGGATCCTCCGCTAAACCTAAACAGGGAAAGGCATATCCAACACTAAACCCAGCCTCAAATATATAAATAGTAGCCAATACTTACCAAAGACGAACTCCCGCTAAGCAACCAAAAAAAACAACAACAAAAAACCAACCACAGCCTCCAAAAGTTTATCAAAACAAGTGTCTAAGTTTAAGGACGAGCCCCCACATTTGTCACGACCGGCTTAAAGCCGTAACAAATGAAAGGAGGACATGCAGTTGGTAAGGTTGCAACAAATTATTTATTAACAAAAGAAAGGAAAAAGAACTGCCATTTCTGTCTGACACAGATGTTATCGAGTCAGACAGAACAAGTCTCACAACTCATAACAGAATCCAAATTAACATTCCAAAAACAAACACAAAGCAATCGGGAGCAAACCAGGCCTTCCCACACACCAACAAAGCCACGACTCTTATAGCAGGAAGAACAGGTGGACATCGTTCTCCTGATGAGTCTCCTAGACACACCCACTGGCCGGCCGTAGCAGGACGAGCAGGAGACTCATCACAATTGTTTGAATTTCTTAAAAAATGACACAATTTGAAAGCTGAGACCTTGTTTCATGCCAGGTTTTGCAAAGGGTCTATTGACCAGTGAAATTGGCTGCGGGGTGGGGTTTGCTGCTTTGGGAAAATACATAACGCTGTTTTAATTATTTTAAAATATGAAGGAGATCTGTTTTGGAACAGGCTTTACAAACAGATTCCTCTTGTGGTCTGGGGATGTCAATCTGCAGGGGGATTGAATCTTGCATGACAATGACATAAATTAACTGTTTGACTGTTTACTCTTTCATTTATTTTACTGGTAATGTTTGCTGATGCTTTATTGAACTGAACATTAGCCTAGTTTAAATGTTTAAGAAATAGGTTGCCATAAAACTAAAAAAATAATGGTTTTATGACAAGAATTGCAAAATGTTCTCTTCAAGGGAAATATCTTATTAGTTTGGAATAACACGAGGATGAGTAAATAAGGACAGAATATCAATTTTGCGGCAAATTATTATTTTAATGTTTGGGAAACTGTTGTTCTTCATAACACTGTCTGACTCTGTTCTGTTGGACTCACCTTCTACTCACACACACACACACACACACACGTTTGTTTTTGTGAATTGTGAGGACATTCCATAGGCGTAATGGTTTTTATACTTTACAAACTGTATGTGCTATTGCCCTACACCAACCCTACACCTAACCCTACCCCTTACAGGAAACTTTGTGCATTTTTACTTTCTCAAAAAAACTCACACACACACGCGCGCACACACACACACACACGCACTGGCCAGACAATCTCTCTGCCTTGGCTGGCTTAGATTAGGCACATTAATTTAATTACACATGTCTTGTTTGCACCAAATCTGATTATCATCAGGCAATGACATCACGGATTGCTCCCTTGCTGGTTCATGAAAATCTCAACGACGTTAGGATGTGTTATGGCATGCCAGGTTATTTGTTTATTGTTGTTCATCTGAAGGCCTTGTTTGGCAAAACCCATCTTTTACATTTTATCAAGTTCAATTGACTTGATAATAGCCTCTCTAAATCTGGTTCCAAGCTTATTTAAGGTGTCACTTTAGAATGGTTGGTCGGTTACAACAATGCCATACAACTGGTTTACATTCTGGCTCAAAGCCAGAGTAGATAAATAAATTAAGAACTAATCAAAAGCCTCACAAGAGCAGTTAAATGACAGTGGTGGCAGGTTCTTTTATGTTAGCTGGTTTGTCTTTGCGATGTCAACACAATGAGAGAGGCAGCAGAGACGTGAGGCATGTGTGAGAAAGACTGAACACTGATTCATCTTTAGCATTGACTGGCTCAGCAGCAGGAGAAGATCCATGCTGTGCTGCTTGGTCTCAGCTTGAAAAGCTAATTTCACTGTTAGAATGTTTGTGACCAGACTCAAAAATGCCATTTAGGGAAAGTCAGAGTAGTATCATTGGGTGGTGGTCAAGGCAATTCTGTTTAATGCTTAGGCTAGACTTCTGATTAAATATTGTAATGGAATATATTTTATAATAAATGTTGCATTTACTAAGTGTGTTTTTTCATAAGTACATTTCTAAATATCAATGGAGCTACAACTAAAAAGTTTCCACTAACGTTGCCAAAGATCAAAGTTGTGTGTTAAAGAAGTGTGTTTATTTTAAAATGTAGACCTTGTCCCTTTTGGGTTTCCATATTCTAATGCACATTCCGGATGACAATGAGTGTTTTTAATTTCAATTAAAAGTTATCAGGCTGTTAAAATAAGGGCTTATGAGAAAAGATTGCTGGATATGCTAAAGTTTGTGAGGTTTGTAAGATTTTATTAATGTCATTATTAGGACCCCATTGACTTTCAAAATATTTTCTTTCATTAAGAAACAATAGAAAATCAGGTTTGGAACAACATGACTTCATCATCTAATAAACCTGAAATTGCCGGACACAGGTGCATTCTCTGTGGAAAGTATTTTTGATCTTGGATGGGGATGAGGCCTAATCTGTGTCTTGGACTCCCATCCTGTTATTATGCAGTAACATTAAGTATTTCATTATGAAAACACCCACACATTGGCATGATGCATGTGAGTGTGTGTTCATATACTGTATGTGTGGGACAGATCTTGAACATGAATTCCTGCGTGTGTGTGATGTGAGCATGTGTTTTAATTGTGTATGCCTGCACAGTTATATGCACTCATTGTTCTGTGTGAGCAATGTGTATGTTGCAAGTGCATTGGTGTGTGTGGGTTCATTTGCATGTAGGAATCCTCATGGAAGGGTGTAGGTGTTTGTAGCTATTTGAGTACTGAATTTAGCCCAGCTGGAGTCAGGAACGGGGACACCATGGCCACAGCCTGTCCAGATGGTCCTCCACCCAACCATGCAACTGACTGGCCAATTCTTCCCCCGTAAGGCTCTGAACTCACCATTAGTTCAGAACCCTTTAGTATAGAACATACTGGGTATTTAAAGATGCGTCCCTTGGTGTTGTTTTTCTTGGCCTCGAATAATAAACTGTTAAGTTTGTAGGATAAAAAGTGATGTGCTGTTTGATTTTTGCAACAAGGTACTTAAACATTCAGGCCGCCAGCTAACAATTTCATTATTAGGTTGGGCATTGAATGATGGCAGTACAAAAATAGCTAATTAAAGAAATACTGAGGTCTGTCCTATTCTTAGCAAGGGTGATTTTTCTGGCTTGGAGAGTTCACTGTTAGCTAAAAGGAATGGTTCATCCAAAAAATAAAAATGTACTCACCCTCTGGCCACCCAAGGGTGTAAATTTTGAGAAACTTAGCATTATATCGCTTGCTCACCAATGGATTCTCTGCAGTGAATGGGTGCCGTCAGAATCAGAATTCAAACAGCTGATAAAAACATCACAATAATCCACAATTAATCCACTTAACTCTAGTCCATCGACGTCTTGTGAAGCGAAAATCTGTTTATTTGTAAGAAACAAATCAATCATTAAGATGTTTTTAACTTCAAACCATTGCTTGCGGCTAAATTACACAAGTTCTCTGTCCATAATATTGCTTTCTCCAGTAAAAATGGTCTTGTCTGAATTGGGAGAGAAATATGCACAAATCAGGCACCAACAGTTCAAAACAAATATGTCGGTGGACTTTGATTTTCACTTTTTGGACTTTTTTTTTCACTAGATGGAGCGTTATTATGGATTATGTACTTGTATTTTGTCCAGAAGCAATTTAAAATTAAATTATTATTATTATTTTTTTTTTTTACAAATTACAAATAATTAATCTTGTTTTATATTAGTGTCAGGATCAGAAATTCATGCTTCAATTTTTAAATGATTCAGAAGTTGCCTTCTCAAGTGACGTGACAAATGGCTGATGGACTTTGGCCTCTAATCTAATAGCAGTCCTGGGCTTTCAGATGGACAGAGCTGTGCATGTATTGGATGGAGGCTTGCAGAAAGCCACATGCAGGCATTAAATATTAAATACAGTTTGCTTGAGGTTTATTTGGCATGGTTGGTATGGTACATATAAAAAAGTGTAATGATTTATGATTAAAACATAAATAAAAAGAAAAAAATAAATCATTAAAACAAAAATCAAGATATTTTCTGAAAACAAGTATTGGTATCTTATGAATAAATTTAGTTATTTTTCTGAATAAATGCAGCTATTTCTTTGAACAGTAGTGTGTTTTATATAAAAAAATAAGTATTTTTTGAAATTACAGCTGTGTTTGGCTCTGATCTATATGCCCTTTTAAGAACATTCAACGAACTGTTCTTCATGTGCACACAGTGAATGTGACTATTGACGATGACCTTTTCTGTTTAACTGATTTATTTTGGCACTATTTACTGTAATGGTGAAGGTCAGATATGGTTGATCTTGTTACAGGGAGGATAAGTTATTGGTGTAAATGCATTAAAATGTGTGTGTCTTACAGTTGGATAATCCTGATGAACAGGCTGCCCAGATCAGAAGAGAGCTGGATGGACGACTCCAAATGGCTGATCAATTCACCAAAGTAAGTGTTCCGATCTCAAACAGTTACACATGAAGCTGTTGCATACTGTACTTTTTAGGCTTATAGAGGAGCCTATTCTAGTCTCGTTTTGTCCCTCTTGGTCACAATAGATTTTCTTTCCTTAACACCTTGAATAGGCTGGCAGATTCCCCAAGTTTGTGTCCAGGGACATGGAGGCCATGTACATCGAGGAGCTGAAGTCATCAGTGAACCTGCTGATGGCCAATCTGGAGAGTATGCCGGTGTCTAAAGGAGGAGAGTTCAAACTGCAAAAGCTCAAGAGAGGCCATAACACTTCCATCATTGACATGGGCCAAGAGGACGAGAATCAGCTCTCCAAATCTGACGTGGTTTTGTCTTTCACTCTGGAGGTACTTCTTCTTGCTTAGTGTTTTGTCATTGGGTTATAAAACCCGCTTGACACTCTAAACCACCATTTGAATTGGATTCATATTCTGAACATCTCTGAGGGGCACTTTGAGCCATTTCTGGGATCAAACTCTCCTTGCTGACTACTTTTTTGTCCTAATTTAAATATAGCTATCCACCTTATTTTTCAACATGGAAGTAAGCCGTTTTCTGTGAATGTGCGATGCGAGACTTCCGGTTCATTAGCCGTTGTAGGGACATAACGAGAAGAAGAGCAAAGTGCAGTAAATGGTAAAACTGTTTGCACTACAAACCAGCGTGTTCATAATTAAGAAAATACATTAAAAAATGTGGTAAGACACACCAGTTTGCAATATCAAGCAGCAAAACAAGCTGTTGTGTACATCTAAAAATAGCTGGAAGTGGATGACACTGGAAGCCAGACACATTTTATTTACCAATGGCTGTGCCTGCTCTCACTGGAAAAATAAGGTGGATAGTTCAGGTAAATAAAAAAGGACAAAATAAAGAGAAAGAGAAAATAATATACTTACAGATATTCAGATATTCCCATTGAGATATTGTTAGATTTCTCAAAGAACCACTGAGAAAAACAAATGTAGGTAATTAAAGGGGTCCTATTATGCTCTTTTACAAAGTCTTGATTTTGTTTTGGGGGTGTACTAGAACATGCTCTCATGCTTGGTGGTTCGAAAAACACATTATTTTTCACATAATTTACATTATTAAAATACCTTTCTCCCCAGGCTGGCACAAACGGCTCGATTAGTTCTGGGTTTTAATGAAGGCCCGCCTTTCGAAAAAAACGAAATGTGTTGTGATTGGTTAGCTGCCCCAGTGCGTAGTGATTGGCGAACAGCTTAGACGGACCCAGCTACGTCGTGTTATACTTATAAGAATTGTTCTAGACCAGCGGTTCTCAATTCCAGTCCTCGCGTCTAGATCTTTTTAATGCCCAAACATACACACTACACACTGACTAAAATTAAAAAAGTGAAAAAGCATAATAGGACCCCTTTAAGTAATTTTCTTTATCTTTAAAAAAAAAAAATTGTGAACAACACAGACATTTGATTCATACATGAGTAAAATCACATACACCCACCTGTGAAACACGAAACTGAATAGGGTTTAAGAGTAAAATGCAGCCTGCATGAAAGATCAGTGTTCGAAATTTGTACCTAGTGGTTATAGATCTTGGCTCATAACTCAAATGTTGCAGCTTCAACCATGTGCAGTTTCAGTGTTCTGAATAATATTGCATCAAACATTGCCTTTTTAATTCTCACACAAATTTGTCTTAACCATTATTTTTGGCTTTGCTTCAGATCTTTTTTTTATAACACTAAGCTTTCCAGATTACCACATCCCATTGCCCACACTTAAGAAAAGAGAATTTCTATGAGCACATGAAACAAATGCAAACACAACATCGACTCCTTCCTTTTCACTACCATCTTGTTGTAGCTTGTGATTTGATAGGAATTGATCTGATCATCAGCACACAGAAATGTTCTGATGAAATAATTGAATCTGTGATGGTCTTGACATTCATCACTGGCTTGATGTAGGATTTCTGTACTTCCTTTTATCGGGTGAAAATTTCATTTGCACAGCCATTGCTTTGAGTATCTCATTACAACATGTTGCATGTCAACGTCAAATATCACAGGCCATGTTGGTGCATAAGCAATATATTGGTCTTTGATTTGCAGAATGCGACAAATTGAAAATGTCACCTCATGTTCATCATGCAGGTTTAAAAGAGGGCAGGAGAATTCTGAATTTGTGAGCAGCAGATAATTCTGTGTGTGTAGACAAGTCTTACTTAGCACAAACCAGACAGAAAATCCTGAGTGGCACTGACAGCCTGCTATAAAGCTAGCTTTAATCAAGTGACATTATCTGAGAGGAGATATTCCCTGAAGAAGGGGGCAATAAAACCATGTGATGCATGTCGTGTGTTAACAGCTCGTTCCCCTTTCACTGATACCTTTGTGATGACGGCTTTATCTGACACATCTCACATCCTCTGTCCTCATGCACGCCAGCTGTGTGTGGGTTTGGATAAAAGTGCAATTAACTTATCTCACATGTCAAAGGATTAGTTCAATTCTGTGATCATTTATTCACCCTGATGTTGTTCCAAACCAGAATGACTTTCGTTCTACCAGTGAAAATAAACTGAGAATACAGAATAGTGTGTTTTTTTCCAAATGCAATTACAATGATTGTAGACAGAAGCTTTCAAGCTTCTGAAATATGTAAAATCATCATAACATATAATAGGAATACTAAAGACACTGAAATTTCACTGATAATCTACCAGTGGGCTGTTAACTAAATCAGTCTGATTCATACATGAGTTATTCAGAATGGTGAACTTGGATGAACTGATTCACTAAATAGATTTGACTCAAAAGATCATTTTTTACCCTGATCCTAATTCAACTTTGTCAGTAATATGTCCCTTTCTAGTATTTTGATTAATTTATGCAGGTTTGCAGACCATTTACAAGCATTATATAATTGGGCCAATCATATTGTCACTCTTTAGTTTTCTTTTTTACCTCACACTAACGCTGCAATTTAGGATCTCTGAAAAATTAGAAAAAATATTGATTCATACATTATTGGACAATATTTCACACAACATTAAAATAATGTTTTGTTTTATTTTTGTAGTGTCATTTTATTTGTAGAAAAGGCATTGTCTCCTTTACTTTCTTGAAGTAATTGTACAAAATTCCAAGTTGGTTTTGGGGTTACGACAGTGTGTTTTTGTTTGTTTGTTTTTTTCACAATTGAGTCGTCTCTATAGATTTCATCTTATTTTTTCCACAGGTGGTGATTATGGAGGTACAGGGTCTAAAGTCTTTAGCGCCAAACCGGATTGTTTACTGCACCATGGAGGTGGAAGGTGGACAGAAACTTCAGACCGACCAGGCAGAGGCCTCCAAACCAACGTAGGTCTTGAAGAAATTTCTTGTAAACATTATGTATGTTTTTTGCATCAACATTAAATTAAATCCAGCTTCACTTCTCAGTGAAGTTCAAGCACTGAGAAAGTTTATAAACAGTATTATTTCTTAGAGCCTCCAAGCCTTGAAAGCTGCTGTCTGGAATTAATGATTTTCTTGCAGACTGATTAAATCAGTCTATGTACACTAGCCAACACAAACCTGTTTAGGTTTGATTACTTGTCTTCATGCATACAGGCACATTCCCACTGAACCGTTCAGAGCTGGAGGAACTTAATCTTAAATCCCATCAAATGCTGTTTGCTGAAGCTGTGTGTGTGTGTGTGTGTGTGTGTTATTTAGCTCATTACATGATCAGTTGATCTTATTATTGTGTACACAGTAGGCCCATTCTGTTTGTGGTGAGATGTAACGCTTCATGATGAAGTAACAATTCTGGGCAAGTAATCAACACTTACGAAAACCGTACGCTGATCGCATTACTCAACTAGACTTATCATATTTGTTTGTGTGTGAGGAGACTGATTCGAGTGTAAGAGAGAGAGGAAACACCACACACACAATTCTCACACTCTTCACTGAACATGCTTCACCCACTCATTTGGTCAGCTTACACTCACACTCGCATTGATTTCTGTCACATTTCTGGAATTGTAAATTATTTCTTTTGTCGTAGAACAACATCTCTTGTTAATGAAAGTTCCCTTTAAATGATCATCTTGCTGCAAAATTACCTTGAGTTCACTCTGGAACATGAGCAGTCAACTATGAAAAACCTGTTTCTACTTCAAAGTATGTGCTACTTTTTAGTATACAGTATGACTTTATATCTTGCAATTGCAAAACTTCGTTTTTTTATAACTGAGCTTATATTCTTGTCTTACAGTTTGACTTTATATCTCACAATTTGACTATGTTTTGTACACAATTGAAACTTTGTTTCACATGACTGACTGTTATCTCACAATGTAAATCTTACAATCTCGTAATGTGAAATTTTATTTCACAGTGTGACTTTGTCTTTTAATTTGACTGTATCTCATAATTATGATTATCGTAATATACTTTATATCTCACGATGTGACTATCTCTGGCAGATGACTTATATCAGTGTGACTTTATATTTTTATTTATTTTATTTTATTTAGTCATTTAGCAGACACTTTTATCCAGACGCTTTATATCTTTTAATCTGACTATATCTCACAATTGAGATTTTCTAATAACTTTATATTTCGCAATGTGACATTAGCTTACAGTTGTAAATAATTTCCAATTTTAACTTTGTTTTTCATAAATGACTTAATATCTCACAGTGGGACTACTGTATATTTGACTTTATATCCCGCAGTTGTGACTTTTGCAAAGCTAACTTTATATCTCATAATGTGACTTTACATCTCTCTTTTTCGACTTTTTCTCACTTTACATTGTATCTCAATGTGACTTTACAAATGACAACATTTTACAGTTTTCAATTGCAAACATCTCACAATTGCATCTGTTTCTCATAACTGACTTTATATCTCAGAATGTGATATATATTTTTATTCTCACAGTCACTTTTATTCCACAACTTTTTCTCATAACTAAATTTAAAGTATATCTCACAATTGCAACTCAGTTTCTAATAACTGACTTTATATCTCACAACTGCGACTTTATTTCTTTTAATTTTTTATCTCACAGTGTGATTTTTATCTCACAAAGTAACTTTATATCTTGTAATTTTGACTTCGTCTTGCAACTTTGAAATTCTTGTCACAATGTGAGCTTATAGCAAACAATGTGTCTTTACATCTCACAATTATGACTGTTTCTTATTATTGTAACTTTCTCCAACATATCATCTCACAGTTACCGTTTTTTTTTTAACACTGAGGCAGAAAACCTACATCCATAGCCCAAAACTTATTTTAATAACTTCTTTTCTTTTTTTCAGATGAAACATTCCAAGCATTAGCGTAGGGACTTGATTGGATTTATGCCATACATATTACATTTTGTGTGTAAATGAGAATGTCAGAATGTGACAGTGAGAGACTGATGATGTAAAATGCCTAGTCAATGCTGTCAGTCGTGACCACGGTCTGCAAAGATGTGCACTGCATAGCCTGACATACAGGACAATTGATGAGCCTTGGCTTTTGCCCACAATTTCACTGAGGTCACATCATACAGTCTGACAAGCAACAATTGTAAAAGATAGAAAAAATTGCATGGTGTACAGCCAACTTTACACACATACACACACAAAACAAAAATGCTCATATCCACTCTCTTTCCACTAAATATACGCAGTTGCTCAGATCAACAAGCTCTCACATTCACACACACATTTGGCGCACATTTCTCCAGAGCTTGCTGTAATGCTAAAAGCCTGCTGGGTCTCAGGGGTAGAGCCGTGTGAGGATAGATGAGAGGGATTCTGGGAAAGCGAAAGAATGATGGGGAACTGATGAGAGACATTCGTTCTGTACCTGTTTGATCAGACACCTTAAAACTATGGGGACTGATCCTAACACATCTCTTTAATTAAAGCACATATGTGTGCTTGTGAGGATTTGAGTGAGAAAAAAGGAAGTAGATAAAAAAAAACAGGGAAAGAAAGGCTGCTGTTGTAAGCCTTTAGGTCTGCTCGGGGGCTACAAAGACTTGTCTTGCAGTGGCTTTTGCTTTCATAACTGCAGTTTTATGAAACATGAAAGGGGAGTGGTTAAGATGAATGGGAAAAAAAAGCCATTTTTAAACTCATATGTGAATTTGAGTCAGATTGGACCTATGCTTGGATTTGAGTGTACAGATTGCTTTTCTGGCAGCAGTTTTAGTGATTGAATGCTGCCGTGACCCCCTGTTCAACCAGACTTACATAAAAACTAAGATAATTAAAGGGTTGTTGTCAGTAGTTCATGTATTATACTCTGCATTTGTTCTAGGGAGGCAGCACTTTTGACTTTAGATGCTCTTAGCTGGTGGGTTGTAACCCAAAAATGGGTGGCAGATTTGTTATAAAAGGGTCACAGCTAACCATATAATTGTGCAAAGTTTATAAAAGTGCAATTAACTGTGCTTAAGGAACAAAGAAAATGCTATGAATATCTGTCCTATCAAATTCACACTGCAGATTCATCTGTCATTTAGCAGCCAAATTATGCGTATGCTAGCATGGATACGTTGTGTGACAAATAGCTTCTTCATAAAAAACGATCAAAAAATAAACCGTACAAGATCAAAGATATAAATGACCAAGACTAAATTAAACGTGACTTCATTTGCAATGAGAATGAAAATGGTTTGTGCTGTTTTGGTTAATAATTGTTTATCTTTTTGCATATTGTTGGGCCTAGATAGTAAAGAGAAATGAAATTTACTTTAAAGAAAAAATTCAAATCAAATTAAGTGGTCAAAAATCGTATCTGACCCACTCTGTCTTTCGACATTTGTGCTTGTATCTTGTACCGGCCGTGATGTATCTATCTTGCGTATATTACTCGCACAGTGTCTACTTTCATAATCAGTGAATTCAGTTAAACTGAATGTTAAAGAAACAGTGAATTATAGTATTTAAATATACTTTTTAAACTAAATATCTTTTCTTTAATGGCCACCACAAAAAATAAAACCTTAAAGCAAAAACTTGCACAGCTTAAGTCTGACATATTGAGTCAAATGTGTTTTCTTTATTATTAACATTCCATTTAAGTGCATATTCATTGATATATATGCTTTGAACACAAACCTTTTGTGATTTGTAAAGAAGGCAGTGGACTGGTCCTGTTTCTGCTCGATTGTGTCACTGGAGTGTTGCTCTAGGCGCTGTGGATTACATAACTCAGAGAGCTTTGCTGAGAAGTGTTTTACTCTCTCTCTCTGTGTGTGTGTGTGTGTGTGTGTGCGTGCATGCACTTTGCATGTTTTTTACAGTGTGTTATGATATAGATCAGTAATATAGATCAGGGTTTCTCTACCACGTGTTGTGGGCTTTTGATGCAGTGAACCTCTGTGTTTGTGGCATTACTTAGTATTTATGTTCAGGCTGTATTTGCCA